GATAGAACTCAGGACCTTGTGCTTGCCTGGCAGGCACTTATGCCACTGAGCTATCTCTCTAGCCCTAAGACAGTTACTTTTAATAAACAAAATAAAAAAAAAAAAAAGGAATTGCATCAGGCCTGTGTGCTGCAGCAGGACAGCAGCTGAGACTGGTGGCCTCCTTCATCTGCCATGGGGCTGGCCTTCACTGGGCAGCTCTCCAGGCGCTCTACTGTCACACAGCCCTGCCCGGCAGGTGCACTCTCTCTCCAGCTTGCATCCCGCTGGCTGCGAGGACGAGACCCATGGTCAGGGCTGTACCTGTGTTCCCCGCCGTGGCCCCAGCACCTCCAACAGCACCTCCAAGTTGTCTCTCAGTCTATGTTTTTCTGCATGACTGGGTGGATATATGAATTTGTTTCTCAAGTTTTGGATCAGTTCCACTGATTTATTTAGCTGCACTTCCAGAAATATACATAGTTTAATTTTTTTTTCTATACTGCAGATTAAGTCTAATATCTTTGCTGTGAACTTCATCTCAGTTCTTTTTCTTAACACTGTCTTTTTGAGTTGCTAAATTGTTCAGGCTGGCCTCAAACTTGAGATCCTCTTGCTTCAGCTTCCCAGAGTCCTGGGATTAAGAAGAGTTCACCTCCATACCTGGCTACCACAGAACTTTTTTTTTTTTTTCGGAACCAAGGATTGAACTCAGGCCCTTGTGCTTGCCAGGCAAGTGCTTAGTCTACTGAGCCATCTCCCCAAACCCTATCACAGTACTTTGATAGGTTTCTTTGCCTCAGAAGGCCATTGTCTCCTTTTTAATTTTCTTTCAATTATCTCCACTATTCTTGTCTCTTAACTCTTTTAAATCTGAAAACTCTTGCTGGAATTTTGGTTGCAATCGCATTAAACTTAAGAGGTTAATTTGAAGAAAATTGTCATCTTTAAAAATACTGATTCTTTTAATGACTAACATTAGCCTGATTCTTGTCTTCACTTACTGAGTTCTCTTTTTGTCCTTAGTATTAGAAATTAAGCTTCTTTTAACAGTCTTATGCATCCATTGTTAGCAATGTATCCCTATCTAACACATATTGACATTCAGGTTTGTATTACATAAAGGTTGTATTTGTTTTGCTTTTTTTTTTTGTACGAAGGATTGAACCAGGGACCTTGTGCTTGCCAGGCAGGTACTTCTGACACTGAGCTATCTCTCCAGCCCTTGTTTTGCTTCTTGAGACGTGGTCTTGCTAGTAGCCTAGCCTGGCCTTGAACTCTCGAGACCCTCTTGCCTCAGCCTCCCAAGTGCTAGATCACAGGTGCGTGCTACCACACCTGGCTTAAAAGTTGTATTTTACGCTTATTGCTAGTGGATAAGAATGCTCCTGACTTTTGTACAGCGTTTGTGCAGTGGCTTTACTAATCTTTAGTTGTTCTTTATGTGTACATAACCTTGAAGTTTCTACAGAGCTATTCATAAGCCAAAGGGTAGGGACTCTTTTTTTTTTTTTTTTTCAAATCCTTTTTAAAATTTTAGTTAATGTATTTGCTTTTTACTTTTAGACTTTTATTAGGAGTCTTTTCCAAGGCCTATTACTTAGCTGGACACTGAGTCCCTTGGAGATAGACACTGGTAAAGCTCTCGTCGTCCTCCTGCTGGCTGGAGGAGGTTGGTGCTTGCCACTGCGCCTGGTGTTCTCCTCCACCCTGCGCGGGGTGTCTCAGTGCACACAGTGGCCCGTTAAAGCACCTGCCCCTGCTGGGGTGCGGCTCCCAGGGTAGAGTTCACTTGGTGTGTGCGGCCTCCGGGGTAGCGCTCCTGCTCTGCAAATACTGAGACAAGACTGAGCATGTTCAGAGCGGTGTGACTGTAGAGTGGTGTCTCTTAAGTGCCCAAGAGCACCGATGCCGCAGGATCGGGACCCCAGCCTTATGATTTCATTTAATCTTTTTTTTTTTTTTTTTTGCTCCGAATGCCTTCAGGGCAGGTTTGGCTGGCTAGAGTGTTGTGGGGATCGAAGTACAGCAACCTGAGGCTGACAGCTTTGTGGAAGCAGCCAGCCACTTAAAGAACTGAGCTAGGGCTGGGCCCCCATGATTTCATTTAATTGTAATGCCTCCTGAAGGCTCTCTCTCCAAACTGAACTGGGACTTTAAGTCTGAAATGGAACTTATGACCTGGACACACAACTTTTCTGTTTTTCAGTACTGGGATAGAACCCAAGGATGCCTCACCAGGAGCAACACCCCAGCCCTTTTTATTTTTATTTTGAGATAAGGTCTCACTAAGTCACCCAGATTGGGCTGAGACCTGTGATCTTTCTGCCTCTTCCTCCTTGCGTGTCATGCGTCCCATGGCTCACTCAATGTGTGGCTTTTAGGCCATGAGGGCGCTCAGCCCACCACCACCTTTGCATCTTACCGGAAGGCTTTCTCTTCATCTGTTGCTATGGTGACACACTCACTTCATTTCCTCAGGCTGTGAGTTAAGCATGGATGTTTCAGGACATCCTCTCATTCCTGATGTCATTGAGACATAAGCACTCAGTACATTCAGAGTCCAAGTGTCCAAGTTTCATTTTGGATTTTTGTACCAAAATTCCCAAGTGAGGGAGTCATACAGCTTTCTTGTTCTCACCTCCGACTTTTCCAGTTTTCTTATCCAAGACATGGACTATGTTATTTGTTGCAAGTTGACATCTATGCCCAATATTTTATTTATTTTTTATTGTTTGTGTTGGTGAGTATCTCGCCCGCTAGGTTCCTATCTCCAACTTTCTGGTATGGGAAAGGTTGAAATGTAGAAGCACGGACAGGCCTGTATGCAAACACTCCCATGCTGGTGGGCTGGCTTCTGGCGTGACTGGCAGCTTGCTGCGCTGCTTAAGAATCTGTACACGTGCTGTGCGGCACACACGAGCATTTCAGGAGCCAAGGGAGGCTAAGCTAGCTGTGTGACGGGGCTCCATCCATACGTGCTGGCAAGACTGGGACCAGGCCTGGAGCACACATCTCTGGGGCAGGCGCATCTCTGTGGGAGCCCTGCTAGCGCCTCACAGCCACACCTATAAAACTAGCATTGGTGTGCAGCTTCCGCTGTCACCCAGATTCACAGCCTTGTCGTCTTCCAAATGTCCCTATCTCAGCTCTTAGTTCTGAAGTAGGACCTCATTAATGTTCACCCAATATAGTGGGGTTCATTTCTCTTTAGTTTCCTTTTGTTTAGATTTGTCTCACTACCTTTTTGCCTTTTCCATTCAATTTTGAAGTTAGGCACATGGCTCTGTTGAGAAGCATTTCCTCTACTATCCCACCAATTTGGGAAGATTGTGTGTTTTCAAACTTACTGCCATGAGGCCAGCCAAAAAGTTCAGTGGATTAAGGCACCTGCAAGCAGGCTCAGGGGCCGGTGGTTCAGTCACCTGGCCTGCTGTGCTGGCCTCGTCCCTGGGGCACGCTGAGATGGAAATTGAGACTGGGTGTGGTGGCACACACCTGCAATCCCAGCTCTTGGGAGGCTGTAAACAAGTGGATCACTACAAGTCCGATCTATTGGTGAGACTGGACATCCTGTAGACCCTTCCCTAAAATACAAACAAAACAAAACAAACAGACAAAAAAACCAAAACTTACTGACATACAATTTGTACTAATTTCTAGTGGTATTCAGAGAGTTTGTGTTTTGGTTTGTGTCTGTTTTGCAGGAGGGGGATGGAACCCAGGGCCCCTGAATGCCAGCCATATGCTCTGCACTGCACTGAGGAAAAACGTGTTTCTTTTGAGACAGGGTCTTCCTAGGTAGCTCAGGCTAGCCTTGAGCTCGCCACGTAGCCAAGCTGGCTCTGAACTCTCAATAATCTGATCAGATCCTGATGCCTGTGGGGAAGGAGAACAGTGAGGAGCGGACAAAAGACAAACACCAGTATTCAAGGTGGAAGGCAACCTGCAGAAGCCTGCCTCGTGGGGGCAGGACGCCAATCTCTGCCTCAGACCCACTTTCATTAGCAACCGAGTGGCATCAGGGAGGGGCAGTGCGTGCTTCATGGAGCAGTGACGGCAGTAGACCCAGAAAACACGGCAGGAAGCACGCTCTTCCCTTTACCTGGGTCCCCGCATTCCTTGGGTTGCCCTCAGCAGATGCTGTCCTGCCTTAGGAGCGCTGTGGGCACGAGCTGTCTCCACGCAGCCAGGAAGCATACGGTGGCCTTTGGCCTACTTCTCTGTTCCTAATACAAGGGCACAGCAGCTTCAAGGCCACGGGACCCAGGTCACGTAGCCTAGTCCCCAGCAGTGACCCTCCTGCCTCAGCCTCAGAGTGCTGGAGTTACAGGCGTGTGCCACCATCACCTGCTGGAGGCAACATCCAGAGAGTTCATTTCATTCCAGAGGGTGGTCTAAAGTGTGTGTGTGTATGTTTATCTTTGTTTCCAGTTCTCCTGGAGACATACCTATTTTACATTTCTTCGGGGAATCGGATTTTAATCATATGGGATTTTTCTCTGCTATTATTTTCACTTCCTTACCTTTTCCTTTTTGGGTTTGCTAAGGCCTAAGAATTTGTGTCCTCCCCAAAATGCCTATGTGGGAATCCCAACCTGCAAAGTGATGGTGTGAGGAGGCGAGAGGTCAGGATGGCGGAGCTGTTATACTGGGACCAGTGTCCTCACGAAGAGACGCTGGGTGTCAACCTGCCCTTCCTCAGGTGATGGAGGAAGGCAGCACCCGGAGCCAGAGCAGCTCGGCGGACCAGAGTCATGCTTCTCTCAGTTTATGTCATTTTGTTACAGTAGCAGATGGGACTAAGACAGGGCGATCCTGCTTTTGTTCCCCTAACTTCTTGTTTTTTGGTACCGGGAGTCAAACTCACAACCTTGCGCTTGCCAGGCAAGTGCTTATGATGCTCAGCTATCTCTCCGGCCCTCCTTTAATTTCTTGATGCTTGGTTTATTTCCGTTTTTTCCTCTTGCCTACAACATGCAACTTAGGCTGGGAAGCCTTCTCTACCTTCTACTGCACTGACTGCGTCAACTTTGCTAGCGTTCTTTCATTGCAACTCAGTTCTAAAGCTTTTGAGTTTTTATTATAATTTCGTTACCTTTATATAACATTCTTACATAAAATCTCTCTTGGGCGTTGGGGTGTAGCTCAGGCCCCAGTGTGTTTGAAGCCCTGGGCTCAATACTTATCACCACAAAGAAATCAGAAACAGAACTGTCATTGAAACTTGCACAGGGGTTCATGCCTTTGTTCTTTTTTGGGTTGCTGGGACACAATATGAACACCCTCGTCTTAGAGGAGGAAGGGCTGCCTTGGCTTGCAGAGTGGAGAGGTTTCGGTCCACATTTGGCTGGGTCTGAGGAAGGGTGGCCAGGCAGGGGGCATCACAGAGGAGAAAGAGTCCCTACAGTCCCTGCAGGGCAGTGGGGAGCAGAGGGGTTGGGGACGGGACAGAGACCTTGCAGCCGTGTCTGCGGTGGCTCAGCTCCTCTTCCTTAATAGCAAGCCTGTTATGGGCCTCTGTGACCCAAGCACCTTTCAAAAGCCCCGCTCGGAGCACAGGAGGCTTTGGGGGGGGGGCATCCACATGTAAGCCACCACACTTAGCATGCAGGGAGTCAGGTGACTGTCCACGTCGGCTTGGAAACCCACACTTGCTACTGACCATAATGAATGGGACCCACTTCCGTTTTGGCCTCAGGGTTTCCAGTTTGTGATGTAGTGAATCCTAATTTTACTTTTTATAATTTCCCCCTTGCTTTTGGTATGAGCACATGCTCGTGTGCACAGTATGTTCACACGGGGAACTGACACAGGCTCGTCATGTCTCGACAGCTTTGCTTTCCTTGCTGTCGCCTCTGCCCATCGCTCTGTTCTGCGCCCCCTTCCTTCTTTGCTAATGACAAATCCTTTGACTCACTGCTGCTCTGTATTGTTATTTTAATCTCTATCTTATTAGTTTCTGCTTTCACTTACTCTTTTTTTTTCTTCCTTCTTTTAGTTTTGGATTTGTGTTTCTAGGGCCTTGCGTCTTTAGGTTATCTGTTTGAGATCTATTTTTTATGTATTTGGTATAAGGCCTCACTATGCAGCTCAGACTCGTAGAGATCCTCTTGTTTTCAGCCACTCCAGTGCTGGGATTACAGGCATGCACCACCATGCCTGGTCTTGGTGACCTGCCCAGCGCACCTGGGGGCGGGGCCAGCATGGCATGTGGTGCCGGGGATTGAACCCTGGTCCCTGCACTTGCCTAAGCAGGCACTTAGCCGGCTGAGCTCTCTCGCCAGCCCTTGGGATCTATTCTTTTTATGTGCACATTTACAGTTATGCCTTTCCATCTTAGAACTCTAGTTTTACGAAAAATCCTATTTGAGAGTCTGTCTTAATGAGTGAGTTTGATCTGCTTACATTTATCTGAGTTTATTTCAGTATTTCTGCTTTGATTGATGGAGCTTTTCCAGGTGTGCCCTCGACTAAAGGCCATCCTCACTGTCACTTTTTCTGCCTGGCTGCGTCTACGGTGATCACCTCTGAGGGTGGTTTTCCCAGCGACCTCCTGGAGGGACCAACCTTTCCAGCCTTGAGTGTGGAAGTCTGGCCACAAAGTGGATCTGGTGTGCTGGCACTTCCTCGGCCTGGGGTTGGTTGCTCTGGTCATTTCTCAGCCTTGGTGTCCCAACGTGACGTCAGAGGACAGTGTAAACTTGGCATAGCTTTTGCTTCTGTTCCGCTCTGAACTTGGCATGAGATGGGTTTCTTTTACGTACCTCTCAGCCTGGGTTCTGCTGTTCTTCCTGTCTTGTTCCCAGTCCTATTCCTATGTGAGCCTTGGGGAGCTCACAGCTGCCAGAGGTGTTCCGGTCTCTCCCTGACCCCTCCACCACGGCCTCACTGGTCTCTTGTCATCTCCTTATCTGGCTTTCAGCTTCCTCCTGCCCTGACCCTGTGCTGGGCTGGGTGTGGTTGCATCCCTTTTTTCAAAAGCACTACCACTGCTACTTTCCCTGCTCTTAATTGGCTACATTTAATCTGCTTTAGCAGCGACTGAGATGGGAACAGGTCCTCATGAGCTTTCATTTCTGATGCTTCCAGAACCATAATTATCAAGTTTACACGTAGTAAGTGCCGTAGATGGTGTTAAAATGAACTTTTTCCTGTGAATTGGATGAGCTTCCCAGCTCTGTGATCTGCACAGCTGTACCACTCAGGAGGGCGTGTGTTCCTCTTGCCTAGCCTGACTCACTGAGGAAGCCGTGATGGCCAATGAAGCGAAGCCTTGCCCGTGCGACATTGGCCACAGGCTGGAGTACGGGGGCATGGGCCACGAAGTGCAGGTGGAGCACATCAAGGCGTACGTCACCAGGCCTCCGGCGGATGCAGGCAAAGCTGTCATTGTTGTTCAGGACATATTTGGCTGGGAACTGCCCAACACCAGGTACATGGCTGACCTGATCGCACGAAATGGCTACACGTACGTATGAAACGCTTTCCTTCCTTAAATTCATGCACATTTCTGGGGTCCGACCTGGCTGTGCTCTCATTCACATTGGCCCCTCCTTATTTCCTGGCATGAAGGCAATACAATTGTCATGTGAAGTGACATCCCTACTTGCTGCCCAATCCCTGGACTGCAGGTTCCCCAGGGGTTCCTGGCCTCACATGGTGGGGAACACCAGTTCATCTCCTTACGTGGGCCTCCACAACCATATGTGGGCACCGTGGGTGCTGAGATGGGCCCATTCCAGGCTCCCAGGCGGGCTTAGGCAGGCGGGCATTATGGGGCATTCTAGTCCCAACCGGCACGGCCTGCCTCAGTGAGACAGGTCTGGACACGGCACAGGGAGAGCTTGCTCAGCACCGAGAGGCACCTTTTCCCGAAGTGGCTGTGGCTTCTCACTGACCCCCAGGGTTAAAGCTTTTGTAAGGCTCAGAGATATGTAGAACCTTCCTCCTCTGCAGGGCTGCTGAGATAGCTCAGTAGACTAAGCACATGCTTAGGCAAGCTCAGGGACTGGAGTTCAATCCCCGGCACCACGTGCAGCATTGGCCCTGGCCCCCCAGGAATGCCGCAGGATGCCGTGTGTCCAACCCAAGAGCGAGGCTCGGCCGGGGACACACAGGCGTGAGCACACCCTACAGTGACTGTTTATACAAAAGAATTATTACAGTAGGAATCTTCTCCCAGCCCTCCCCTTGCTTCTCACACACTCATTCCCTCAATCGTGCAACTTCCTGCTGTGGTGCTAGTGTCCCCTTAGCGTCATCAGGGTGATCAAAAATACAGTAAATGCTGCTGCTGAGCACCACCCAACAGAAAGGCAGGCTTGTAAAACAGTGTGCTGTGTCCCTGGCCACCTCATGTGCTGAATCTATCACTGGAGAACTACGGACCATCTTGAAGCTGTTCAGGACACTGAGGCAACCACAGTCACGCAACTAAGGACCCTCAGGACTTGGAGAACTGCCTCAGAAAGTGGCAAGAACAATGTGGAAGTGTGTCTAGAGTTAGGGAAGGATGCTGAGGGGGATTCACAGCGATGTGTCTTCTGCTCTAATGCATATTTTATTTTTAGGTACTTAGTACAGGGTCCACAGGGTCTCATGACACAGATTGGACTCATGATCCTTCTGTTTTCAGCCTCCCAAGAGCTGGGATTACAAGCATGTGCCACCACGCCCAGTTTCAGTGGTGCTCGCAGCATGCCCCAGGGGTGTGGCTGGCACTGCATGCTGGGAATAGAATCCTGGCTCCTGCACTCTGCAGGCACTTTAGTCCACTGAGCTATGTGGCTGGATGCATATTCTAATGCATATTTTATTATTATTATTATTATTAGTAGTAGTAGTAGTAGTATTTTAATTTTTTGCTTTTGGTGCCGAGGACCGAACTCAAGGCTTCCTGCTTGCTAGGCAAACATTCTAAACTGAGCCAAATCCCCAGACCTTTTTTTTTTTAGAGAAGGGTCTACAGGGTGTTCAGGGTCTCACAAGTAGATTGGACTTGTAGTGATCCCCCTGTTTATAGCCTCCTAAGAGCTGGGATTACAGGTGTGTGTCACCACGCCCAGTCTCAATTGCCATCTCAGCCTGCTCCGGGGGTGGGGCTGGCATGGCAGGCCTGGAGATTGAACATCTGGTCCCTGCACCTACTTGCAGGTGCTTTAATCTGCTGAGCTATTTGGCTGGCCCTGAATGTTTTTCATTTTTCTTTTTTCTTTTTATATCAGGCTGCCTTAAGGGTGGGTCTGGTAGGGCTTTTGGAGGTGGGAATTGAACTGCAGTCCTTTGTGCCTGACTGCATTTGCCTAAGTGGCACTTTAAACTACTGAGTTTTCGGGCAAGCCCCAATGCATATTTTAGAACTTAAGCCTTTATGGTATTTTTCAAACACACCACGTAGATCAACAGTAGAACCTTGGCTGGCTGTGCAAGGCCTCAGGTTTGAGCCCCAGAGATGGAAAAAAAAAAAAAAAAAAAAAAAAAAAGGCTAAAAGTGACCAAGTCTTGGTAAAGTCACCCTGCAGCCAATTTGCCTTTTCTGACCCAACTCCAGTGGCCTGCCACCCCTACATGAGGAGCCAGCTTCCTCCAGTCACAGCCAGTGGCAGCCCTACACTGCAGGAACCAGGCCTGGCCAAGTCGGGGGGCACTGGGCCTCCTGGGTGACCTGGGGAAGGACGACACGCGCGCAGGCATTCGGCTGTCCTGTGGCCTCTCCTACATCCTGCTGTGGACCTTGCCCTCTGGCGTCTGCTTGCAGCCTGGGTGGGGGCTGGGAAATCGCTTGGTCATGGTGACTGGCCTTGCCGCCCACGTGTGCCCTGGGCCTGAGGCTGAGGACGAGGTGTGGGGACCCTCGGGGCCCTTGCATCCACACCTGGCCCACACTTCCACACTGGCTCATCTCAAGCCCTCAGCCTCTACACCACTGCCCTGTCACGTCCTGGGCCTGTCATGTGCAGGCTGCCAGAGGCTGGGCACCTGCTCTGCGACACCTGTCCCTGGCCACATTCCCGCTCAGTCAGAGGTGCTCCAGGATGCAGTGACCACCCTTTCAGTTCCTTACCAAACGCACACAAAGGCCCAGCTGGAAATCAAAATCTGAACCCCTTGCTTTCCAGAACCATCCTCCCAGACTTCTTCGTGGGACAGGACCCATGGAGCCCCTCCGGGGACATGAGCATCTTTCCTGAGTGGGTGAAGACCAGAAATGCCCAGAAGGTGGATAAGTAAGTCACCGCAGCCCAGGGCGCAGAGTGGGACACTGCAGTGACCCTCAGCCTCTGCCATCACCCCGCCCCAGAGGGCACCTCACATGGCACCTCACATGTTGGGGTGCTGCAACAAGGCCACATGAATGATGCGAGAGTGGGGCAGGTGTCTGTCAATGACAGCGACCCATCCTGGTACTAAGTGGCCCGGAGAGCTCCTGGTGTATAGAATGGAAGCAGTGGCTTCTGGCTTCAGGACTGTCTTGATTCACGGCTTGAGCTGATCCAGGCTCCTTCTCCCTGCACTGCTTGGCTCTGCCTCCTGCATGCTGGCTTCCTTCTCAGGCATCCTTCAGTCACTCCATGTGGCAAGGTGGCTGCAGTTGCTCCTGCCTTCCATTACCTCTTTCCCCACAAAGCAGCACCTCTCGTTTGTATTCCCTTGGTTCTGATGGGCTCAGAGGCCCTCCTGGAACCAATCCTTGTGCTCAGGAGACTGGTCTGCCTTGATTGGCCAGGGTTGAGCCACACACTGTACTCCAGCAACCAAAGATGGAGCCCTCCAGACGATGTGGCTGGGGAGGGGTGTCCAGAAAATGAGGAGCAGAACTGAAACCCAAACTATTGCTCATGACATTATATTTTAAAGATTTAATTACTACCTTTCTCTTTTTGCCATACTGGGGGCTGAACTACTTGGTGCTGGGACAAAATACCGGACACCCACACGCTAAAGGAGGAAAGGTTCACCTCAGCTCACCGTTTGTCGAGGTTCCAGTCCAGAGCCAGCCAGCTGCGTAGCAGAGAAGCAGCCCATGGCAGGCAGGCAGGCAGGCAGGCAGGCAGGCAGGCAGGCAGGCAGGCAGGCAAGGGCAGCAGCAGGCGGCAGCAGGTCTCCGTTCCTTTCATTCCAGCCAGGCTATGGGTGGGGCCCTCCACACCCAGGGCAGGGCTTCAGCCTTCAGCGAATACATGCAGCCACACTCGGAACTATACTAAGTCCAATCAGTGGTCTAGTCCAGCACCACACACCCAGGATCCAGCTGCCTTCCCAAAGCCTACCTATGGGCACACGTGGCTTTGGGGGACCCCTGGATACAAGCCACAGCAGCTATGTCCCACTGAGTTGACAGGCTGTCCAGGCTATGTTGGAACTTGTGAGCTTCCTGCTTCAGCCTCCCAGAGAGCTGGAATTCAGGTGTGTGCACCACACTTGGCTTAACCACTGCTTTTGTAACACAGCGGCAGGATGTATTTACTGAAATGTATGCAGTCAGTATGAGTAAAGGAAAAGTTGCCCTAGCACTGATTTCTACTTTTTAAATTTTGGTGTTTTGAGATAGAGTCTCATTAAATAGCCCAAGCAGGCCTCAAACTCACAGCAACCTCCCGCCTCAGCCTCTTGGGTGCTGGGATTATGGGCTAACTATTCTGGGATATCCCTGCCCTTTTAGGGGTGTGTCAAGGGACCCTGGACCTAGTCCCTCTTTCTTCTCTTCTAGGGAAGTGGCTGCTGTCCTGCGCTACCTGAAACAGCAGTGTGGTGTGCAGAGGATTGGCATCGTGGGCTTCTGCTGGGGCGGCATCGTAGTGCATCACGTGATGACCAAGTTCCCTGAGATCAGGGCCGGGGTGTCCGTCTATGGTGAGTCCCGGTGCTCTTGCAGTGATGGTGGGGCGGCTTCACCCCAGGGCTGCCTCCTTGGGCATCGGAGCACAGAGGTGGGGTTGTGGTGTCGCAGGGTCTGGAGGGTGTCGCTGGGAGCCTGAGGGCCGGGCCGCCAGCCGCCCGCCCGAGGTGTTCTCCAGCTTGGGCTGCGACGCAGAGGCGATGTCTCCTCCCCAGGCGCTCCTTCATATGCAGCTGCCGCCAGGAGCACACAGCGGCGGAAGCACTTTCCCCAGCCAGGACAGCCCACCGTGTGCACACTGCCCACATGCCACCTGACACGTGGGACATTTACAGTGAGGCTGTAGGTGCAGCAGTGACACGAGCACGCTCGCTCTGCCTGCAGAGAAGGCAGAGTAAGGATACTACACGGGGCACGCTGAGGACATCAGGGAGCTTTTGGACTGACAGACATGAAGTGGTTTTTTTGGTCTTTTTTAGACAGAGTCTCACTATGCAGTTCAGCTTGGATTTGAGCTCACTTTGCATCCCAGGCTGGTCTCAAACTCACAATAATCCTCCTGCCTCAGCCCCAGAGTGCTGAGATTATATGTGTGTGGCATTATGCCCAGTTTATAAAGCTTTTTTTTTTGTTCTACTGGGGATCGAACTTAGGACTTTGTGCTTGCCAGGTAAGCTTTCACGCTGCGGAGCCATATCTCCAGCCATACAAAGCTTTTAGGTTAGTACGTTAGAAAGCTATGCTTATTTTTCTTACAGTTTACTTACATAGTTTACTATTGATTTCAAACTCTGTTTTCAGGCAACATATACAAAAATTAATGCTGAACGTAACTTTACAATTGGCACTAAGTGCCCTTGAGAAGTACGCTTGTCTTTTTACCATCAACATTTAAACATTTTTTCTTTTCTTATTAGTGAATGTGTGCTATCATGATTATGTAGCTTAATGATTTCTCTCTTTGGTACTTTCACCTACTTTTAGTATTTAAAAAAATCCTATTGGCTGGGGCGATAACTCAGTAGAACACGCGCTTGCCTGGCAAGTGCAAGGTTCAATCCCCGGTATCACAAACATAACAAATTTTAAAATCCTATTAAATATTTACCTACACAAAGCAAATAAACTCAGGCTGCTGACCCACAACGCCTTCGTGGGAGCGCAGGCGCCCTCGAGTGCGCGTCGCAACGGCGCCACCTGCCGGCCTCCCCTCCCAGATTTTACCGGAAAACTTGCGGCCTCCCTCATCTCTGAGACAGGCACGACGAAGCGGGCAGCTGCGGGCTGTCCCGGTCACCGGGCCCACGCCAGTGGCCGCCGGCCGGGCGCGGGGCTCAGCGGCGGCGGCGGGGACAGGCGCAGGCTGTTTCCTGTGGCATGCCTGCAATGCCCTTGAACTCATTTTTCAGGCATCGTCAAGGATTCCGAGGACGTTTACGACTTGAAGAACCCCACGCTGTTCATTTTTGCTGAGAATGACTTGGTGATTCCCCTTGAGCAAGTAAGCACACTTCCCCTGCTCGCTGTGCACAAGGGGGCCGGACACTTGAGAAAATGCCTCACAGGATTTACGTCTACTCTAATTGTTTTCCGGTGTTGGCATTTTAAGTACGAACCAGGGTGCGCGCCTGTAATCCCAGCACGCTGTAATCCCAGCACTCGGGTGGCCAGCCTGGACTGCAGAGCAAAACCCTGTCACAACCAGACAAAAACAAAAAACGAAAAACAAAACACCCAAGAATTTGGTATAGCTATGAAATGCGTCTTTAAAACGCTGATAATCAATCTCGTAGCTCCACCACGAACACCCCTACGAGATTCGCGGACCGCTCAACTCACTGATGGGTTCTGATGACACGTACCACTTGAATCCATAATGCCTGTCAGTCCCAACAGTCCGTATGAGTGAGTGCGCTTCAGAACTGCCAGCCAGGGAACTTGAGTTTGTCTCTGCTAAGCGCACATGCCACTGCACACTAAGTGCTCAAACACACTGTTCTGTATGTAAGGCAATGTATGTCCAACTCTTTATCAAAATGACTGCACATAAAAATCCTATTGTCCCCAATGCTTGTGCACATCAGGTCTCTTTGCTGACCCAGAAGTTGAAAGAACACTGCAAAGCTGAGTACCAAGTTAAAACCTTCACCGGGCAGACTCACGGGTTTGTGCACCGCAAGAGGGAAGACTGCCAGTCGGCCGACAAGCCCTACATCGACGAGGCCCGGCGGAACCTCCTGGAGTGGCTGCAGAAGTACGTGTAGCGGCAGCCCGGGCTGGCTGCCTCAACATCCCTTCCTTCTAAAGTCTGCCTTGAAGTACTTACATCATTTTTTAAATTTTTACTTCAAAAAACAAATGTAGGGAAGCTGAAATTCATTTAATCTGAAACACAAATTTGGAAGAAAGTTTCAATGCATGGAAATAATCCTCATTACGTGTATCCAGTGAAAATTAAGGGAACAGTTGAGTACCTGGGGAATTTGGGAGTCATACGAAGTTACTGGGGGGCCTGCAGCTGCTCCATGGTGGTCTTAAACGGCCTCGCTGCAATGCTGGCAAGAGCACTGTAACTGGGGGCAGACTAGGAACTCAACTAGCTGTTGTCCCTGTTCTTAAGAGCTGAAGTTCTCACATCAGTACAATGTAGAAATAAAGTTCCTATATTAACTGATAAACTTCTTGTGTAGTTTTTTCTCTTCATTAAGCTAAAAGAAAACGATGGCCTGGCTATCGCCTGCTGGGGCTGTCCTTCCAGGCAGTTTGGATGCCAGGGTTTCAGGTTGTTGGGGCCACCAGGCCGGAGGCGCCGGAAGTGCTGTGTGCATCAGGGTGAGTGACACGTCGTCACTCTGTGGTGCTGGGGATTGAACCCAGGGGCTCTCTACCACCGAGTTATAGCCCTGGTCATCTGTGTTTTGAGAGAGGCTCGAGGAGCTGTTTGGGCTGGGCTTGAACTTCCAATCCTCCTGTCTTCTGCTGCTGAGCAGCTGGGGCTTCAGGCGGGCAGCACTGCCCCACCTGATGGGGCTCCAGGTTGGCCATGCGTGTCTCCACAGCGCTCTTCCCAGGGTGCTCTTGTTTGCTGAGTCAGGGTCTTGCCGTGTCACCCTGGCTGACCTTGAACTTCTGGGCTCAAGTGATTCTCCTCAGCCTCCTGAGTAGCTGGGACCACAAGTATACACCACTGTACCCCGTTCACAGGTGACTTGTCGGTGGACAGCCTAATGCAGTCTTTGCGAAGTCCCCACCTGTAGGTGCCGGTGCCTGAAGGCGTCCTGAGGCCATCTGATTGCTCTGACCCAGATGTCCGGACCTCTGGGATCCCTGAGCAGTTATTCATGGGTCAGAGGGTAGTGGGGAACAATGAGGAATGAGGGGCCTTGGGGCTGAAATCTATTGGGGTAGATTGTCACCCCAAGCTGGCTTCCTGCAGGAGCTGTGCCTAATGGGTTCAGGGCAAGCAGATGCCAGTGCATGGCCACACTGCCTGACAGGGTCACTGTCACAGTGTCTAGTTGTCCCAAAGCCTCATGATGTGGCTTGAGGAGCAGCCAGTGGCTCGAGGGGTGGGGTCAGAGGTTAAGCTACCATCTGAGGTGTGGAGTGGGCCATCCTGGACATGGCGGTGCCCAGCGTGTCCTCCAGACCCTGAAGTGTGGGGCAGCAACCTCTGCGACGGAGGCTGCCGCAGACACAGAGATGTTTGGGGGAAGACATGGGTACTGACACTTTTTCCTGAGCAAATAAGGCTCCAAGGTCTTGCTACGTAATTCAAGCTATTTTAAACTATGAAACCTCCAGTACGTAACTGTGAGCTAAAGCCTTTTGGTGTCAGGTATCTGTCCCAGCAATGAGAGAAGAGTAACTAAGACAGTCGCTGTGGTGTCTGCAGACTGCAGGATGCAGGGTCACTGTGTCATGAAGACTGCAGTAGCTGTTCCCAGAGGTGGCAGAGGGGCCCAAATCAGGTTCGAGCACCCCAGGAGATGGGAAACGGAGCACTGTATCTGCCAGTGCAGCTGTCCAGCTTGGGGCCACAGCCAGTTTCAGAGTTTACCGCACCTTTTTTCAACGAGAAAACTGTTGGCACACCGGTAGAATAAAAGCTGGGCCACGGCCACGGCCACGACACACACAGTCCTGGTCCTCACCGGGCTACTGGCGTGCCTTCAGAACACGCGGCTCATGCCAGGCCTCCCAGGGTTCCTGCAGATGTGCTGGCAATTGCCAGCTGCCAGGGCCCCCGGGACACAGATGAGGCATGGGGGGCCGTGTGAGGCACCTGGCACACTCAGGCAGGTGGGACCTGATGCTGAGCTGTGTCCTGAGGCTGGCCGGTGTGCTCAAAGCTCCCCCAATGATCGAGGAATAGCACTGTCTTGATGTGAACAGGGCACAGGGGATGAGGGGCACTCGTGGGAGCTGGCCGCAGCCTCGCCGCCAGGGCAGGGAGGGCATGGGATGAGGGGCTGGCAAATCCATCTTCCGGTGGCACAACACTGACCTTCCCACCGAGGCCTGCCAGCAGCACTCAGAATGCCCTAGGAGCCCAATGCAGAGGGCAGCACAGGTCACCTGGGCCCCAGTAACAACTAACAGGCACCCTGCCAGGACGCAGACACCCAGCTGGGACCAGTGGAGGACCCCCAGCACAGGGCACCTCCAGGCTTTCCTTCCTGCCTCGGCTGGAGTCTCCCGTCAGAAAGCCTGCCCCTGTGCCTCAGCTAACACTCGGCTGGACGGCGCTGCACAGTGCCGCTGGGGCTGGGCAAGACCAGAAAGCACGAAGCAGAGTGCAGTATAGGCTGGCACAGCGCTGAGATGGCTGGTGCCGGGGCCACAAACTACAAAGGCAGACTCTGCCTGAGGCCCATGCTTGCCCTGCCTCATGGGCTGGCTTGGAATGTGGAAATCCTGTGACCTCCTAGCCACTGCTGAGATCTTGGTGGCCTGACCAGGCAGGATGAACTCTGCTGAGGACAACGTAAGAAGGGATAAAGTCTTGTTTCTTTTGTGATGTTTAGCTTTTGTCTTTTTAGACAGGGTTCCACTATACAGTTCAGGCTGGCCTCGAACTCTTACTTGAGCCTCCCAAGTGCTGGGATTGCAGCTATGTGCCACACTTGGCCCTGTGATGCTAAACTGGCTCATTGCACTACTACACTACTGCAGGGAGAACACCCTCCCCTTCTCACTCACTGGGAAAAACACAAGTGGGCCAGCTTAGGGGTCTCGCCATCCTGAGGCCTGACCTCCGGCGCCCTCCTATGCAGCCCTGCATTCGTGTTTTCCTCTTCGTTCGTAGTACCTCTCCCACAGGCAGGCAAGGACGAAATGTTTAAGCTGCTGGAACATTTCCTATAGCTTATTTGGAAAAATATGCACTCAGAACGCCTTCAGTTAAGGCAGCATTTAATAATGCCACAACGAAGGCTGCTCAAACTTGGAGAGAAGATAAAGGCTTAAAGAGATCGCTTTAATGAATACAAAAGCCTGTGTGTGGAACAGTATTCCTACAATTACACAGCTCTGAACAAGTGATCCCACGGTTACCAAACAGCTATTTTTAACACAGCACAGAGCGGCAGAAAAGGGCGTAACAATAAATAACTGTCACTGCACCGCAAGACGCCCATCCACTTAATCATCAAGTAGTGGGTCTCGCTACTGCATCTTACTCTAAAATTCTCTTCACTCTTCAGATTCTCCAGGCTTACGGATATCGTCAATCTTCAAAATCATTCTAACCATTTGTGTAGCGAGAGAGATCTGTTGCTTTTTGCCAATCAAGGTTTCTATGACATGTTGTTGCTTCATGTCTGAAAAAATACAAGTAAAAGACCCTGAAGTAGCACACACATTTAGTACCAAGAGATGGCTTCTGTTAACAGAACCACCACAAAACGTAACAAAACAGCTGTGCACAGGGCTCCGTGCTGTGGCACCAGCTAGCTGGGAGGTTGGGCTGGAGGATCACGGTCCAGGTGTTCAGGGCCAGCCTGGACAGCCTGTCTCAACCGTGACCTGACCTGCAGGCCAGGCCCGTTCTTCCCTCCTCCCCACCCCCGCGGCCTGGCACACTCACCGTTTGTGCCCTTGTGCAGACAGTCGATGCCGAGCGCGGGGTTGGCCTCCTTCACCTGCTGGGTGCGGACCTCGGTCATGGTCTGGATGGGGTTCATACCACTGTTCTCGGCCAGGGCCATGGGGATGACCTCAAGCGCATCTGCGAATGCGCGCATGGCGTACTGCTCCAAGGTCGGACACTGCAAGGGACAGCAGTGAGCGGGGTGGTCAAGCCAGGGCCACTCTGAGGCAGGCAACCAAGACAACACTCAGGCAGTAGGGTCGAGAAGCAAGGGGCCTGACTTGTGACTTAAGGCAACATTATAAGGTCACCAGAGAATCAAGACAGGATGAAGAGCCACGCCTGAGGAGCCTGAGCACAGAGGAGCGCTTGGCTGCCTGGAGTCACACTGCAGGCTGAGCAGGAGGGGTGGGGAGGCTGAGGCAGGCCAGGGAGGGAGATGGGAGGGACCACGGTTCACCCAGGCACACATCCACCACTTGGCCTGGCTCTCACCTTGTCTGCCTCCTGGCTCACGGCCAGTGCACAGGATATTTCTGCAGCGCCTCCACCATACACCACGCGGTTGTCCCGGATGAGGTTTCGGATAACACACAATGCGTCGTGAAGGGATCGTTTTGCTTCCTCGATGATC